CAAAAGTTTAAAATCAGTTCGAACAATGGTTGTGATGTAAGCAGTGTATATTATTCTTTAGGAGTCTAAATAATACTTCCATGCACTTTTGTAAAGGAATGTAATCAATATTGATGCACGCTCCTCTTATGTTGGCCCTGTAGATTTCTATGGCCTCCAATGATCTTATCTGTTGTTTGTCAAACACCCTGTTTGAGGGTAGCCTCGTCCCATAAGGGGGAAATCCCCAGATCAGTGGCATATCGGGCCAGAGCTGTATTGATGTTTCCTTCTGCCACGTCATACTTGGTTTCACATACAGATCATTACAAGCCAGGTTACAAGATCACAAGTATGATGTGGCAAAAGGAAACATCAATACAGCTCTGGCCCGATATGCCACTGATCTGGGGATTTCCTCCTTATGGGATGAGGCTACCCTAATACATAGGGTATTTGACAGACAACACATAAGATCATTGGAGATCGCAGAAATCTACAGGGCCAACAAAAGAGGAGCATGCATCAATACTGATTACATTCCTTTACAAAATACATGGAAGTATTATTTACACTCCTAAAAAATATACACTGTTTATGATACATCACAACTGTTGTTCGAACTGATTTAAAACTTGAAAATTAGAACGTGGCTACATTCTATAAATAGAACAGTTATTTTCATTTTACATTTCCTGAAGAAGGTAGATAAAGGACTGGCTGAAAAAGTTCAAATACTGAATTTGGGTGTTTTGTTGCTGGAAATTTTGTGTTTAGATAAGATTCTATATATATTGTTCCAGTTTGCTTGTGTTATTATGGTTTTTATAGTCAGTAATCTAACTTTAGCTAATAATCTAATAAAATTTTACTAATTAACTTTTTTTTTATTTGCAAAAATTGGGTGTTGATGATTACAATATAAATATTTTATCAAAACTACTTGTATTATAATTTTAAAGTATCTATATTTTTGTTACTGAGAGCTTTTAAGTTCTGGACTTCACATAAAATCTGTGTTTTCCTTTTTTTTTTTTTACAAAAAATGAGCTTTTATTTCTTTTTTAAATCAAGATGTAAATTAGGAAAAGTACTAAGAATATTTACTTTACTTATGATTTTTAATGGCAATATTATTCATAATAGTCTTTGACACTTGTGCTTATAATGAAATGGTTAACAGTTATGTTAGCTGACTTTTAATTTTAAATACAGTGTAAACGGAAAATATTTACAATTAACTTAAATGATCTCTGGAATTAATTACAGCAAATTAATAGCTAATGATAAAACACCATTTGAAATAATTTTAAATTTTTTTTGTACAGAATATATTCCATATAGGATAACTAATTATAAAATTACAATATTTTGCTATTATTATTAAAGTAAAACAAAATATTTAAATGGATAAATTGAATATTGCAGAGGATGATGAAAAGCATATAATGATCAATTAAATATAAAATCTAATTTAGAAATTTTAACAGTTAATAATAATCTTAATATCAATGGAAAGATAAATTGAAACCCACTCTCTCAACTATGAAACAAATAATGATTTTATACTTTATGTGAAGAAGTCGCAACTATATCTTAGAAATACTGTTTGTAAAGTAAATTACTTAAAAGTCAATAAGAAAGATTTGGATAGTTTGCTAGTTATAGAAAACTTATGGACACATCCTTGTCCAACTAATAATAAGTAAAAATGTAAAATATGAAAGTTTGTGTCAATTTATTATGAAATTTACATATTTCTTTTGTTTTTTCTCATCAGCTTAAAATATGCTTAATTATTAATTTTATTCATTCAAGTAAGTAATTGATAATTGAATTTCTGACTAAAAGATTTTTTGTTATAGAATTTAGTTAAAATTTAAGTTTTTACTAAAGTTTTTACTAAAGTTTTGTTCTGAAATTTCATAAAAGTTTTAGAGCATATTAAATTTCTAACTTCTGTAATCAATAATAAACTGTGAAAAAAAAGTGTTATTACTTAATTTTAGTTTTTAATATGGTGGCTATCAAATCCAAATATCAAAATGTTTAATAAGGAACATGAAACTATGCATTCTGATATTAAATAAGTATTTCTCAAATTGATGTTTATAATTATAAATGTAAAACAATTTCATTTGTTTTTAATATCAATATCATAAAATTTTGCAATTTCTTTTTTTAATTAAACAATATTTTTTCATAGTAAGTGAACATAAGCTATTTTGACATTATATGTATAACTTTTAAAAAGTTTAGTTCTTTATTGAAGATTCTATAGCATCTGAAATTATTATTATTATTATTATTACTACTTTTATTTTACTTTTTGTTTTATCTTCAGGAAATCATTAAAAGGCTGTCATAGTGTTTTGAGGGGAAAAGACAAATTTATCTGAAAGTTTCAGACAAAAATCAAATGTCACTCTCCTCAGAAATTATGTCGTCAAATTGATGACAATTTGTCTTTCACAATATAAAGTCAAATAGACTCAAGGCTGAAGAGAAGACTTATTACCTGCACTTGAATTAGGGATCCTCATGCAAGATTCATGGGGCAAATGTAGCTCTAAGGTGAGTGTTGTGTAACACTTTTCTTGATGTTTTCTAATATCTGCATGTTGAATTACAACTTGAAAACAATTTATTACTAGTCACTCTTGATGAACATAGTTAATCAAATAGCCATGTTCATTGTAATTTTACCCCACTCAAAATTTGTATATCCTTTAATATAGGCTTCAACAACCAGGCATTATTGAATGTGCATTTACCGATTTTTGGTAAACTGTAAGTCACTTTTCACACCCTGTAAAAAAAAATAGTGTAATTTTACTGCTATCACAATTTTGTAAATAATAAAATTTATTAATTTATTAAATAATTTCTACAAACTTGTTTCTGGATCATTTTNTACATAATTTATTTAGTAATTAGCCTTAAAAAAAAACTAGCCTGATAGATTTTCGGCATTCTGTTGGTGTGTAACATTACAGCAGATTTGCTATGTATCTGTACCTTCCGTATCCTATATTTCACTAAAGTATTTTATGAAAGAGATATTATAGTAGTAACATTAATAAATACAGTTTTTTACATTCATAAAGTTTATCAACTTGAAACCATGTCATGTTCTGTTTCTATTGTTTATCTAGCACAATGAAGTGCAACTTAACGATCACTTGGCTTTCTTTCACCTTTATTCTAGTTGACGATCGAGCTCCAGCTATCCTGAGAAAAACTTTGGAGGGAACCAGCTACTAGATCAGTGGTCCCCAACCCCCGGGCCGCAGTCCAGTACCGGTCCATGGATCAAATGGTACCGGGCTGCCCAAGGAACATTAAATTATTTCCATTTTATTTACTATGGTGTATTTGTCTCGGGTTTGTGCGACTTTTAGTAGACGACGGAACAATGGCATAAACTGGACATAAGAAACACACTTCGGGTGTCATTATCTCCTATTAACCCCAGATGGAACTGTCTTGTTGCAAAGAAACAAGCTCGGGGTTCTCATTGATTTAGCGTTCTAGTGAGTTAAAATGTTAAATCACATTGTATTCATTTTTTGTGTAACAGTATTTTATTTTGAAGGCATGTTTAAATACAGTTAAATTAAAATTATTAAATTAAATCAATCTAAAATATGAACAATCAACGTCACCCCCTCAGTGGGCTGCGGTAAAGTTATCAAATGTTGAACGGTCCGCAGCAATAAAAAGGTTGGGGACCGCTGTACTAGATGATTCGATTAGTCTTTTGCCCCTATACCAAGGTCTGATGATTGATTTGCATGTCAGAATTGCTGTGGACCTCCACCAGAGTTTCCTCTGGCCTTGTCCTGCCCAGTTCACCATCTTTCAGATCCCAACATGTACGCTCTCGCTCCATCCCACCTGGCCAATCAGTACCCTTCTTCAGAACGGGCATCTCACCAGGAGTCCAAGCGTCAAAGACCCCTCAGGTCAGCGGGCCACCGAAGCAGGGCGACGTTGGGCGTGCTTGCTTGAGTGGTGCTGGAGGTCTGGACCAAGCAGTCTAACATGTGCATGAGTCATTGGGTCTTGTTCAGGCCCAGAGGTGCAATGAAAGTGAAGGATGTCCCAGTCAGTGTCTGCGTTGGGATCCTGAGGCCACAAGTCCCGGGTGCACAAACAGTCCGTCCCATCCGTCATGTCGGTGGGACAGAGCGAGAGCATACACATTGGGACCCAAAAGATGGTGAACTATGCTTGGGCAGGATGAGGCCAGAGGAAACTCTGGTGGAGGTCTACAGCGATTCTGACGTGCAAATCGATCATCAGACCTTGGTATAGGAGCGAAAGACTAATTGAACTGTCTAGTAGCTGGATCCCTCTGAAGTTTCCCTCAGGATAGCTGGTGCTCGATCGTCAACTAGAATAAAGGTGAAAGAAAGCCAAGTGATCATTAAGTTGCACTTCATTGTGCTAGATAAACAATTCATAAAGTTATAAAATAATGCTACAAAAATCACAGAACACATAAATATCTTCTACACACTGTTATGCTATAAAATACTTATTTGAAAACCTTTGTTCAGATCTCAAAAGTTACTTAATATTCACTATAAATAAAGAATCTTCAAATACCGGATTAATCTAAAATTCAAAAATAATCCCTCATCAAACCTTTAACCGGTATTAAATAAGAGTAAAATTACATGCAAACATTTTCGGATTCCTCCCTGGGTCCTTTCTCAACCAATGATTCTTCTTTAAAATTCGTTAGAACGAAGACCAGTAGAACGAACTTCTTCTATACTGCGACATTTGAAAAGCTACTTCTTCAGAACCACATTTCAAACGTCAAAATTCAAAAAATCAATGTGAATCACGTGCATTCCAGTATTCTGTAAACAAATTCATAATGTAATGTTCGGATTTTCTTAAAATGGTTTTTATGGATTTTTACATTAACGAAAAAAAATAAAAATAAAAATAAATAAAAGAGCATATCAGCGGGTATGATGTTTTAATACCCTATTTACTATACATATTTATTAATGTGAATCCNATGCTGCCGATATTTCTGTCGATTCTCGAAAGTTGACTGCAAGGCCTTTACGCTTTGCCTTACAAATCTGCCAGGCTTCCGCGTAATGCCGGTGTTTCCTGTCGTGGACTATCTGCATTAGTCTTGTTTGGTCCCATTCAACCTTGACATCTTGCTGGTCCGCTAGAACGTAGGTAGCTAGCACAGTGCACGGTTGTTTTTTTCTTATATTTGCTTGATGTTCTGCTAACCTGTCTTTGATACATCTTCCTGTTGCCCCTACATACATTAATTTACTACGTCGCCTTGAGTCCATAACTGGAATTTTATATACCCCGGAGAGTGTTCTTCTGTCCACTAAATCCTTATCAGATCGTAATAGTTGGTACGTGGTGAGGGTTCTTTTATATAGGACTCTTTTGTTCTGGGCCTTTCCAATGCATCGAAAAATATTATTCAGCGAAGCATTATATTCCATTGTTAAAACTCCTTCATTATGAAGTAAATTTCTCTTCTTAAGGTGTGTTTTACTCTTGTTGATAATAGCTTTAACATTAATCCTATACTTTCTGGCTAAGTTATATATATAATTCAGTTCATCCTTTCTATCTTTTGTATTGTTACAGTGCGAATAAGCTCTTGCGACCAACGCTCTGAACGCTGCTATTTTATATGCTGGAGGATCGTGAGAGATCCATGGAATAAATATAGGGTTATAGGATGGCTTTCTGTACACTTTAGTCGTGAAATCTCGTACGTTGTTAATTTGTATATGCAGATCTAAGAAATGTATGGTCTTATCATTTTCTTGCTCTAACTCTATCTCAAGGCCAAATCTATTGTCATTTATATCCTTTATAAAGCTCTGTACGTTGGGTTTAGTGTTCCAGAAAATAAGTACGTCGTCTACACATCTAACATACATTATCATTTGTGCTTCATACTTCGGCAACACTGCGTTTTCTAGCGTTGCTAATACCATTTCACATAGTTATAAACTTTAGCTGCAAGAAAAGGTGTTTTAGTAAGTGTTTTGATATTAATGTCAAATGCGACACAATAGATATAAATGAACGTTGACCAATAGAGATGGACCTTTCACAAGACACTCGCATACAAGCAATTAGAACATAAAAATTTTGAAAAGGGGAAAAGTTAATGATAAAAAGGGACATCATGTCAGGTCATTCAAATTCTAAAACGTCATAGACTAGACAACAATGAGGTAAAATATGAGTGCAGGTTTCAAAGTTCCATCAGCACCTACGTCCAGAGCTAATGGATGGTGTCGGGTAGATTCTCCAAAGTGGACCTTTCTCATGACCTGAACAAGTCTTGTCTTTCACTTAGGGACAGACGAGGGACCAATCAGGAAGTGAGAAAAAAGGCCGTGGAGCCAATCAATTGGACAGAAGAAAGAACGGCGATTGATATAATCCCGATCTTCAAGGACAGACTCACTTTCCGTAAACTGTGCAAACTGTGCACCTGCACACAATTAAATTAGTCAATGTAAAAAATTCAGTTTTCTGTCCATTGTGCCCAACCCTTAACCTGTGCCACTACGGATTCAAACCGTCAACCGATGGAGTGTCCCCACCTGCCACTGCCCTGGGGCCACCTGTAATTGATGAACAAGAAATAACATCAATGCCCAGGACCTGAGAAAAACCGATTGTTTTAAGGAAAACTATTTTTTTTCCTAGTATAAGTTTATTTCATGTTAAAATAAACGGTTTTTGTAAGATACTTTCATCCTTATCTCTGCCACCACTACCCACATACAAAAGGACCCTAGATCAGTGATTCCCAATTAGTTTTTCCTGCTTACCACTTCAAGAAAGAGCTCAAACTCGCGTACCCCTTATAGCAGACATTCATATTAATCCACACTAATATTATAAATTCGAAGGTAATTCTCTCTGTCTGTCTGTTACCTTTTCATGTCTAAACCGCTGAACAGGTTTTAATAAAATTTGGTACAGAGATAGCTTACATGTTGGACATGGACATGGGCTACATTTTACTGCAAGAAAATATCTTACTCCCACGAGAAAATTCGATATAATATGTGAGAAGCTGTGGGTAGACAGCTAGTGACAAATAAAATAAGTTTTTTTTTACATTTATTACCTTTAAAATACAATTCTACTAATAATGAAAATAACATAACGTTATTTAACTTTAATGTGACAAATGTGCACTATTTTTTTTGCACAACTTTGTAAAATCTGGTTGCTTTTTGGTCAGCTTCAGTCTCAAGTCATCTTCGAGTTGAAGTCAGTGACGATGTTTAGTTTTCATGTTTGTCATGGACGAAAATCCACTCTCGCAAAATATGTTGTGCAAAATGGTAGTAAATATTTTATTGCCGCTTCGCTTACATGATGATAATGATAATTGTACAATTAACACAAATTTTGTTAATTGTACAATTTTTGTTTCTTGCATAAGAATTTCATTTAGGTATTGTCACAAATGCATTTTTTTTTTAATGAAATTTCGAAAATATTTTTAGTTATAATTAAACGAATTTGTGCATTTGACATCATGTTGTAAATTGCCAAATTTTTGATGGTCCACATTATTTTTTTGATTGTGTCATCTCATACATTTAAATTTTAAATTGATCGATTTTAGATTGCCGTGCATACCCCTTCATGCAATTTCGCATACCCTCAGGGATATGCGTACCCCTAATTTGGAACCATTGCCCTAGACCATCACTGATGCAAAATTAACTGATTTCCACTAAAAGTTGGCTTACTTACACCAGTTGTGCCATCCAGACACCAAGCAAGCTTTTGCTTCCAGATATATTTAAATTTAAATTTAAATATAACCTTATGTGATTAATTACGATGCTGGCTGGGGATGACTCCTATGCCCACAACCTAAGAACAACTCCACCACATCACTCAGCCAGCTAATGTTTTACCCAGTGAGGTATATATATATAAGTATAACAATAGATGGTTCTAAATTATTTAATAAATTATTAAAATCATAATTATTAATTTAGTTAAGAGATGGCGTCTAACGTATACCCTTAGTAGCAAATTACTTTGTATTAATTATTTAAAAATTAGTGAAATTGTAATCCAATCATTTAGGTAATCGTTGGATGTTTATATATCTTTCTGATTATACATTATTTGAGACCATTAAGAACTCACTTTGTAGATGAAAATTTGCCAAAGACAATGAATGTCCATGTGTGATAAAATAATACCATAAAAGAATGGTTCCTTGATGCCATCATGAATTGCTAGACAAATAGAAACAATGTATTAAACTTGCAGGAGAGTATGTTGAATAATCTCAAGCAGTGGCTTATCAGAACATGGGTGTACCCAAGGCAGGTACACCCATGTTCACAAACCAAGGTACAGTACATATTCCTCTGTCAATTTTCAAAGAATGTTACTCAATTACCTTAGAATTATTTCCATAGGCATTCCTCCTGGATACACCTGATTCTCAAGTGCATTAATTTATGTATCATATAGTGATGTTGAGGATACCAACACTAGATATTTTTGGAACATTCTATGAGCATCACACTAGTGGCTAAAACAAAATGTAGTAATTATGAAGTACAACCACCAAATCTGATACAAAATTACAATAAAACCAAATCACCAGCAAAAAAATTAGAAAGTGCTAATGTTTTCGCCCATGTTGAATGGACATTCTTAGGCTAACTAATCCCACAGCTGTTGAAACAACAGGAGATTGCCTTACATGTGTGAAAAAAAGGAGTGACATAAGGAGAAAGGAAGGGGGACAAGAGAATAAATTTACAGTTTGAAGAAAGACTTCCATGCTGTGGGGAAGGAGTCTATATCACAAAAGTTAATAGTGGTATTTTTGCATATGGCCTTATAAATTTCAACTTGCTCTAGATGATTGAGAAAGGATTGCTAAGAAGAGCTACATATGAGGCATGCACAATCAAAATCTACACCAATGTCAGAATGGAATTTTGATGTTCTTTGAGGTGGGTGTTTAAAGAGCATTATGTAGCATCCATGTATTCTAAGTTGCAGTTGGATCCTTTCCATCCTGAAAGGAAAGGCCAGCACTGCACTAGCTATCTTTGCCTCTGACCCGGACATTGGTATGGATTTTGACTGTGCACACTTCATACGTAGCTCTTCATTAGCCAAGTTCTAGTCCAATAGTTAATCTGGCCTTATCATTTGATCATTAGTAAATACACAGTGTTTGTAATTAAACAATAATAAGTTTGTAATTAAAGTTCACATTTCAAAAAGACATAACTCAGAAACTAATTAGCAGAATGATGTCATATTTCACATGGAAACTTCTGCTGTGATGGAATTTTATTTGAAACAAAATTTAGTTACAAAAATCCATAATTTGAGGTTGTTATTCAATTACCTTAGAATTATCTTAGAACTGTTGCATTTAATGTGCCATTTTTCTTTCTTCATCTTCAAAGGCATGACATAATTAAAGGAAGAAGAACCTGTTTTTGGGAATGCTTCATAAGTTGGTAATTCAATACTCAGAGCAAACAGTCTTCTCAGCCTTTAATGACCAAATTTTACTTTATATGAAATATGTAAATTATGTCCTGATTGTTTTGAAACAGAAACTAGACATTAGGCACTTCATACTAAAGTTTAATGAAAATCTATATGGTCTTTTTAAGAATGAAACAAGAAATCTTCATCTAAGCACATTTTCTGGAATTCATATCTTGTTACAACAAGAGCACACTTACAAATGAAGATTTTCCATAAAAGCTCATATAATTTGATCTATATCCCTGCCCAATCACCTGATCCCTTCATTTATAAGCTAGCAGCCTTTAGGGCCATATATAATAAAGCCTACATTCACTGTTCTACTTCAATGAGTAGGACAAGTTTAATTTATGTTACAAAAATGTTTGCTAGGGCAGTAACTAAAGCTACAACACCATAGTAGATAACTCAAAATGTCTCAAAATTAAAGATATACATGGTATAATATCAAACTTGATATGCTGCCTCCATTGTTGGCAACATAAAAAAAGCTTATGTAAATTTCCTATGTCACTAATGATGTATACATCAAAAGTAGTAGTATCTAGAAAAAAATTCCATGTGAAATATAGCATCATTCTGCTGCTCAGTCTTCAGATATATTTTTTTAATATGTGAAATTTAATTATCAACATCCTGTATCTAGCAACTGTATATAGCAAAACACTATATATACCTTATTTCACAGCTTCCTTAATCATCAGACCTTTCTTCCACTTTGTGTTTTCACCAAAATGAAAGCTCTATTAAAGAATTGTATATTCAAATCAGCAGAAGAGATGAGAAGTGCTGTGAAATTTGCACATGAGAAGGTATTCAGAATTGGCTGCAAAGCTATTTTAATAAACAGTGTGTAGCTGTAGAAAGTTATTATTTTGAGAGAATCTTCTGTAAATACTTCTACGATTAATATAATTAAAGTTATATTAATAGTTTAGTTTGTTTTGTAACTATTACATCAACTACTACATAAAAGTAATACTCAAATTATAATTTTCAAATTAAATTTTCATTAAGTGTTTCTTTGAAGTTTAGACCACTTAAAGTAAGTAATCTAAACTCCAAAGAAGCAGTTAATAAAGATTTAGTTTAATAATAAAGTTAGTTTAGTGTTAAGTACCATATATTTCCACAGATAAGATGACCTTCAGATAAGACGAGGCATAAATTTTCGTCAAAGTTTTATTGTTTTAGAATATATCTGTCCTATAAGATGACCCCCAAACTATCAACGGCCTATGAATTTAGTTTAGATCGGCAATCATCATCTGGATAATAATACTGTACTGTATAGTGTATACAGAATTATGTCCTATTTGTAATTTTTCGAATGAACATATTTTATTTTCTTGCATCTGGCAGCACTGCTTGCTATTGTTGCAAACATTAGCACTGATTCGGTCATTTGGGTAATGACCTTGACTATTCA